CTCGTGGGCGAGGGCCAGCGCTTGTGTGCCAGCAGCTCGTCGCGGCGGCGGTTGACGAATCGCCCGGCCTCGTGGTCGCCGAGGGCCCAGACACCGTTGCGAAGCCGCAGCCGCTCCTTTGCGTCCTCGCGCCCCAGCACGCCCCGGAAGCGCGCCTGGACCAGCCTGATCGCCGCGTCGGCCTTCCTTATTAGCAGAAGGAACCTACAAACGAGTGCTACCATATCTGGCCATCCTTGCCGAGGCCGGGAGAGCACAGTAGGCGCATGAAATAAGAGACCAGCCTGCCAGCAGGTGCCCCACGAAACTGTCTTATCCTACGATGGCTCGAGTGACCCACAGAAGCTCTGGGGACGCTCAAAGATCGATGGAGAGTGTACCCCAAGATGTGTGATAGCAGATTGTCTTATAGTATGTGTCCACTGTGCGCATCCTGTGGGCTAAGATGGCCCTGGCCAGGCTTGGTTTTGGTGTACAGGTGCCGTCTGCGGATTCCTTCTCCTCGCCAGATCACGAGACAGGGCGCCCCGGAAGCGCGCCTGAACCCAAATGATGACGTCATCCTGCCGCTCTTCCACCATCCGCGTGGCCTTCGGGTGTTCCCCTGCGGCGCTGGGCATCGATGTACCCACCCTTGCCGCGGGATCGCCACTGTCCCTGCGCGGTGCCGCGGAACTTGACGACGACGACGACGACGAAGTGCTCGAATTCCTGTCGGGCTGGTATGTGTGGGCGCGCCCTGGGGACGACGATGAACTGCTCGAGCTCGCGTTGGCTTGGAAAGTGTTGGCGCGCTGTGGGACCTTGCCATGCATACACTTTCGGAGGTCCCCGTGGGTCTCTTGGCCCGGCGCTGGACCCCCCCGCCAGACACACACACACAGGCACACACACACACCTGGCGGCGCCTCCGCCGCAGCCCTGGCGCGCTCTGCTCATGAGATTGCGACATCGGAATAAAAACAACACGCCCAAAACCACCACATGTTCTGGTGCATTTCGCAAGCCGGATCGGTCCGCGAAGGTCCTTGGGCCTAAAGCAAAGCGAAGTCACCCGGTGCCAACAAAAATGCGACGCCAAGATCTCAGGGGAGGAGGGGTGTTTGGTGCTCGTTCTGGAACCCTGCCTGGAGCCACCTGCTCCACTCCTGCGTGGATGCTGCGTCGAACGCTCGTCGCCTTGAGAGTCGACCCTGCTCCGAACTTGAGCCGGACTCGAGGCGAGCTGGCGTCGAGCTACAGCCGAACTGGAGTCGCAAGGAGAGTCCAACAGATCCGTGAGGTGGGCCCCGGGGCCTCGGCACGAAGAGCAAGAGGGGGGGAGGGGCGAGCTCGTGTGCCGACCCGGGAGCTGTCCGCACGCGGACCTCCGAGCGCCCGTGCTCACGCCGCCGGTTTCTGCTCCCCGGTCCCTGGGGCTTTGCGTCAGGTCGGGCGCGCGCTGGGGAGGGGATGTGAGGAAGTACGCCACGAATATATATATATATATATATATATATATACTAGAACCACGCGCGCGCTACGCGCGCGCTTAGGTTCTAGTACACGTTTGAGGCACCGTCGGCGGGCAATTGGCGGACTCCATGACGCTTGTGTGCTATGGGTCGCAGGCCCGCTCGTCGGATGTTGTGTGTACTCTGCGGTGATCAGATCTTCTCCTATCCAGGTCCTGCTTTGTGGCACCTAGTGGCTTGTAGTGGCTCTCAGTGATTCCTCCTCCGCGCGCCGTCGATGTACACAAGCACGCCGTTACGCTGTGCGCCCCTCAACCCCAACCACTCGCGCGGGGCCAGCGGACGTGAAGCCGAATGCTGGAGAGCTATACTACTTGCGCCTTCTCCTCCTGCTCGTGACTGGAAAGGGCGTCACGTCATCCTGTTGGGCTCTCCTGGAGGCGTCTTGGGGCGCGCTCAGGGCCATTGTTGGGCATCTTGGGGGCCTCTATATATGGGGAAGAAATTGAAATACGTGGAAGGAAGTGGCACGACTCGGGAGGGCTTGGGGGAGGGGTATATATATATATATATATATATATATATATATATATATGGTCAGCCCCCCCCCCAGCACCCCGTGTGCACCCATCGCTCTCTTTCCGTTGCTCCTCCTCCTCCTCCTCCTCCTCCTCCTCCTCCTCCTCCTCCTCATCCTACTCCTTTCCTCCTCCAAATATGAAAACGAAGAGGAAGAGGATGAGGAGGAGGAGGAGGAGGACCAGGAGGTTGAGGATTAGGATGAGGAGGAAGCCATGCTATTCACATGTTTTTTGTTTTTTGTCAGGGAAGCCACGAAACCTTGCTATTCACAGGTTTTTTTGTTTTTTTTGGTTTTCAGAAGCTCCACAAACTAGGCCAGGAGGTCTTATGGACGGCTGAAAACCAAAAAAAACCTGTGAATAGCAGCGTTTGGTGGCCACGACCCCACCAAACGCTGCTATTCGCATGTTTTTTTGTTTTTTTTTCGGTCTAGGAAGCCACCAAACGCTGCTATTCACAGGTTGTTTTTTGTTTTTTTTTGGTTTTTCAGAGGCTCCGCAAGCCCCCGCGGTCCCCTTCTGGCCAAGCTTGTGGAGCTTCTGAACACCAAAAAAAAAACTGAATAGCAAGGTTTCGTGGCTTCCCTGACCAAAAAACCAAAAAAACCTGTGAATAGCATGGTTTGGTGGGCAGTGGTGCTTTGCAATAGAATTTCTTTGTGCGGCTTTCCAATAGAATCCCTTTGTGGCGCTTTCCGAAGGATTCCTTGTGTGAGGCTTTCCAATAGAATTCCCTTGTGATGCTTTCCGAAGGATTCCTTGTGTGAGGCTTTCCAATAGAATCCCTTTGTGATGCTTTCCAAAGGATTCCTTTTGTGAGGCTTTCCAATAGAATTCCTTCTCCTCCTCCTCCTCCTCCTTCTCCTCCTCCTCCTCCTCCTCCTCCTCCTCTCCTCCTCCTCTCACTCCTCCTCCGTCTGTTCTTCCTCTTCCTGCGCGCAAGTGCGCGCTGGCGAAGCGCGCGATAGCGCCCGCGCGCAGCTGAAGATGATGATGTTCAGCTCACTTCACTACGATCGCAAACAATATGCGGATCCGCGCACATTTCGCCTGGGCATTGCCATATCATTCGCCCGACATATCGCAACGCGGGTGGCATCTATATGAAGAGGGGCAATGTGAACACACCTCTGGTCTCAAGAACTAACTCGGCCCAAGCGAAATAGACAACAAGCGCAAACGCGCGCCGTACGCCTGGCCACTCTCACTCCGAACGCCAAGCCTGTCGCCACTAGATCACTCCGCCTGGCCACCTGGCTGCTCCTGCGCGCCGATCTCCAAGCGGGCTCGGCTGCGTCAGCGAGAGAGCTCACTGAGCGTGGTCCTTGGCCCACGCGTCGCGGAGCATCTGGCCAGTAGCGAGCCAGAGATCGCTGCCGCGGTTCCAGTACGTTCACTGGAAGGAGCGCACCTTGCATAGGCCAGAGAGCGAGCAGCAACTGCGCATGTCGCGCTGGGCCGCCTCTCCAAACCTCAGCGCATGCCACCCGCCAACCTTTCCCGCGCCGGGCAACACCTCCCACCCCCCTGGGCGGCGTTCAGCTGCACTGAAGATTGAGGAGACAGCGCCTACGCAAACAAACGCGTTGCACGTCGTTCATCTGGCCTGCCTTGTTGCGGAGAAGGACAGACCCCACCGTCTTCGCAATGCCCTTGCCGACCGCCTTGCGCAGGTCGCCCCACGCGCGGTCGATCACCTGGGTGCCGCACTTCACCCACAAGCGCTTCGCCCCGCTGGGCTTGCTCTGGTCAGGGACGTCGCGGTAGCGGATCTTCGTGAATGCCGGCTTCAGCCGCACCCACTTCCCGCCAACCCGCACCCTTTTCTTCTTGTGCACGACCCAGTCGTGCAAGACGCCATCGACTTTCATCTTGTAGGACCTCGCCCCGTCCGTGTGGAGGATGACGCGGCGGTGCTTTAGCCACTTGGACGCCATGGGCGCCCAATCCCTCTTCCGAATCGGGCCAGGGCCAGGCGCCCTACGCTTGGCCTTCTCTGGCTTCAACCTGAAGAGGACCAAGGACCTGGGGTGCCCCCGCTGCACGATGCCGCCCCACTGCTCCCAGATGATGGGCTTCTGCGTGCGGGGGCCAGCGTTCGGGTCCTCGCCCTTCGCCACGTCGACCTCGTCCGCCTCCACGTCCGCCCACTCGAGCGCGTTGCCGTCCTGGTCATGGCCAAAGGAGATGTTCCTCTCGTGGGAGTTGACGTACTTGGCGCGGGCTGCATACAGCGCAGAGTAAATGCCCTCTGTCATCTTGTGGTTGTTCTTCAACAAGAGGCGGGCGGACGTCTGCGAGCACTGGGCCACGGCGCAGAACAGCACGGCGGCCTGGTCCGCCAAGCGCCCCCCCGACGACCCCGTGCCGCATTTGAAGATAGGGTGGAAGGCGTGCGGCATGAGGAAGCGTCGGCAGCAGTCGCTCGAGCATTTGTGGGTCCACCCGCCCTTCTTCTTGCCATGGTCCTTCAAGGGGCCCAGCTTGCCGATCTGGCAGTAGGGGCACTTCGCGCCCTTCCACTCAGGCAAGACCTTGTCCTTCTTCAAGCGGTCGATCACCTGCTTGGTCGTCGCGTTCACGAAGTCCTTCAAGCACCGAGCCCATGCTGCCCTGTCGAGGCGCGACCTGACCGAGGAAGACCCGTGGCGCGTGTATGGGACGTTCTTCGGTTTGCGCAGGAGTGAGCTCTTCTTCACCTTCTTCATGGGCACGGGCCGCATGGCCATGCGAGCCTTTCCGCGCTTGGCGACTGGCCATGGCTTGCCCATGGGCGACGCGCGCGGGGTGGCGGCCGCCTGACTGCCGACGGGGCTGGCGGGCGGGCTCGGTGGCTTTCTCACACTTGAGCCAAGAACGACAGGGTTCGAATCGACCGAGTGGTGGCAGTGGAAGACGGCTCCTTCGCCCCCTCCTGCGTGGCCGCGGCCGCGCCCTCCGCCTTGCCCTGGGCTCTGGCCTTCTGCGCCTGCCGCCTTTTTCGGCGAGGCGCCGAAAGGCAGGCGAGCGGGGCAAGAGCTGGCCCGCTGGGAAAACCGCTTCCGAGGGGTCGCGTGGAGGACCTCCAAGAGGCCCAAAGACGACCCTCGCAGGCAGCGCTTTTTTTCAACAGCTCGCTTCCTGGTTGTCTAGAAGGCCAGCCCTTGCTCGCTTCCTTCAGGCGCGCCGTCGTGCCTCAAGCGCGCCGTTTCCTCGACCAGGTGCTCCAGCTTGTCGTTCTTGCTCTTGGCCTTCTGGAAAGCCTTCTGGTTGTTCTCGGCTGCGCGCTGGTTGTTCTCGGCTGCGCGCTGGGTGGGGGTTCTGTTGTGCATTGTATTGTTGTTGGTGGTGTTGCTGTTGTTTGGTGGTGGTGTGTGTGTGTGTGTTTAATGATGTGGTTGCGCTATTGCGCGTTGCTAATGGATTACGGTTGTCGTCCGTTGGTGACGTGGTGTATTGGGCGGTACAACGTCGTTGTTCGCCTGTTACGTTGCTGTGGCTATGCGCCTAAGGGCCAAGGAAGTGTTTTAAGTCCACCCCGACACCTGGGCCACGAAGACATCGCGACGCATGTTGAAAAGGTCCTTGCGCTGGCGCTTGACCTGTTGAGCGAGGGCGGCCTTCTCGCCCCGCAAAGCTGCGCACGTCTTGTGATACTTCCGCAGGTGTCTCTGCGCAGCCTCCCTCAGGTACTGACCCACGGCTTGGCGATCCAGTTCTTCAAGGACTTGGCGCGCTTGCGATCACGACACCTGTCGGTTTTAGTCTTCACGGCCTTCGCTGATGCAGCTGGCATGGCGTGCTGTGGCGGCAGCGCTGGGGAGAGAAGTAGCAAACAAAAAACAACCACTCGATTCATAACAAACTACGGATGGTTGCACCCAGTTAGGCTGAGGCGGAGGAGGGAGAGGAATATGAGGATGAGGAGGCGGACAAGGAAACTGAGGAGGGAGGAGGGTGAGGGGTAGGAGGAGGATGAGAAAGAAGAGGATGAAGAGGAGTAGGAGGAGGAGGACGAGCAGGATGATGAGGATGATGAGGGTGAGAATGAAGAGGGTAAATAAGAAGATGAGGATGAGGAGGATGAGGAAGAGGAGGAGGAGGAGGAGGAGGAAAGAATATGATGCGGCTGATGAGGAAGATGAGGAATATGAGGGCGCGGAGGAAGAAGAGGATGATGAGGATAATAATGATGATGAGGATGATGACAATGATGATGACGATGAGGAAGAATAGGATGATGATGATCAGGAGGCGGACAAGTAAAAGGAGGAGGGCGGATGATGAGGGGTAGGAGTAAGAGAAGGAAGATGATGATGATGATGATGATGATGATGATGATGATGCAGGACCAGGAAAAAGAGAGTGAGAAGGATGGGTTGGAGGAGCAGGAGGAGGAGGAGGAGGAGGAGGAGCAATGAGCAATGAGCAATGCGCGGAGAGTCCAAATACGTTACTCAAGCCTCACATCATAGAAGTGGCAGCGCACTCTGCGCGACCCAACTTCGAGGGCAGCGGACTCTGCGCGACCCCCCTGGCAGGACCAGCACTGCTCCCGAACGACGGCGAATCTCGAGCACCGCGCAGGCGCGTAAGAGGATGCGGGAGGAGGACGAGGAGGAGGATCATCGGAATTATCGCGGGACGGGGTGCTGGGGGGGGGCTGAGCTATATATATATATATATATATGTATATATGTGTGTGCGTATACATACATATATATATATATATGTGTGTGTGTGTATAGACCCATACGTAAGACATGTAGGATTGTGTACACAGGAGAAGGACAATCTATAGAAACGTAGTACGTCGTCCAAGGCGCCTCGGAAGGCGCCTCGGAAAGCGCAGAATACTCCTCCAAGGCGCGGAATCATGTTCCCGGACCGCCTTCCGGGAACATGACGGGGACGACCTTCTGAGGGCCTCCAGTGGGCCTCTTGGGGGCCTCTCGGAGGCCTGTATATATAATTATATATATTTATATATATATATATATATATATATAGACCCATACGTAAGACATGTAGGACTGTGTACACAGGAGAAGGACAATCTATATAAACATAGGTACGTCGTCCAAGGCGCCTCGGAAGGCGCCTCGGAAAGCGCAGAATACTCCTCCAAGGCGCGGAATCATGTTCCCGGACCGCCTTCCGGGAACATGATGGGGACGACCTTCTGAGGGCCTCCAGTGGGCCTCTTTGGGGCCTCTCGGAGGCCTGTTGGGCTCTCCTGGAGGCGTCTTGGGGCGCGCTCAGGGCCATTGTTGGGCATCTTGGGGGCCTCTATATATGGGGAAGAAATTGAAATACGTGGAAGGAAGTGGCACGACTTGGGAGGGCTTGGGGGAGGGGTATATATACATATATAGACCCATACGTAAGACATCTAGGATTGTGTACACAGGAGAAGGACAATCTATAGAAACGCAGTACGTCGTCCAAGGCGCCTCGGAAGGCGCCTCGGAAAGCGCAGAATACTCCTCCAAGGCGCGGAATCATGTTCCCGGACCGCCTTCCGGGAACATGACGGGGACGACCTTCTGAGGGCCTCCAGTGGGCCTCTTGGGGGCCTCTCGGAGGCCTGTGGGGCTCTCCTGGAGGCGTCTTGGGGCGCGCTGAGGGCAATTTTTGGGCCTCTTGGGGGCTTCTGGGGGCCTTCGGGGAGGCTCTTGGGGGCCTCTTTGGGGCCTCGCGGGGCCCTCTTGGGGACCGCTGGGCTCGCTCAGGCAGTCTTGAAGCCCTGTCGGGGCACTCCTGGAACCGTCTTGGGCGGCTCCTGGGCCATCTTAGGGCTCTCCTGGGCCGTCTTGGGACGATTTTAGGGGGTCTCTTGGGCCGTCTTGGGGCGGTCTTGGGGGCCTCTTCGGCAGTCTTGAAGCAGTTTTGGGAGACTCTTGGGCGGCCTTGGAGCGTCGGAACCCCGAAAAAGCGAGAAGGCCAAAAACGTCGAAAAAAACGATGCAAATCAACGATTTTGGCTTGTCGGGGCTCTCTTGGGAGGCCTCTTGGGATGCCTTCGGGGCCTCATGGAGCTCTCTTGGAACGTCTTCGGGCCTTCCTGGCCATTCCTGAGTCTATCTATGCGCGTCTTGGAGCGCTCGCGGGCCGTCTTGGGCGGTCTCGAACTGTTCCTGGCGGTCCCAGGGGCCCTCCGGGACGCTTCGGACGCTCCCGGGGGCGCCCTGCACACCCCATGGAGATGACAGGCACCGCCCCGGGGCCCTACTCCGATATATATATATATATATATATATATATATATATATATGCACACACACACTTATAGATACATATATATATATATATATATATATACACACAGACACCCTCCGACGAGTTCTGCTTGTATTTTCAGGGAGGGCGGCGGTGTAGAAAGTCGCTGGCTCCCAGTGGTGATTTATACACCGCCACCCTCCCTCGAGGCCCAGGAGCAATCCTTTGGAGAGTGCCTGAGTACATCTTCCTGTGGCGGAGGACGGGGGGGGTGGGACAGAGCGCCGAGCCAGGAGGTCCGCCCGGACCTGCGAGCGCTTGTCGTGCTCACGCCGCTTCCCTCGGCGGCTGCAGTAGGGGCTGGCAGCCAGGGGGCTCGGCACGTGGATCTGGAACCGATAGATCAGGAATTCAAGGTCTGGAGTCTGGAAGCAGTTGCAGCTCCAATCGTGGAGTGGCCGTGGATATCACCGCCGCCCTCGTCAGACAAGGAATGCTCCAGGGTCTGAAGCCCTCTGGGCACATTATTTCAGTGAACGCCCCCACTGTAAACGCATCCAGGGTCTCCGATCGCCTGTCTTCTAGGTCACCTAGCTTCGCGCATCGCGCCCCGCGATGCGCGACGCGCGGTCATCTTCGCGCCCTTCCGCTCTGGAGAAGGGCGCCCATCCAAGCCGAGCAGCGATGCGCGAAACGCCGTTATCTTCAAGCCCCTGGGGGGGGGCCGGGGTAGTCCAGGAGGCTCCCTGGCGAATACGTATACGCACTGCCCGCCCCTCGGCTGCGGTGAGGAACTTTTGCTTCGCGTGCGATGGCGGCGAGCCCTGCAACACGCCATGCCCCGTGAGCTGATAGAGTGTCGCCTTGCTTCGTGAGACGCTCGGGAAAGCTCGGAACACTGATGCCTGGGGGCTGGGACGTGCTCAGCGGATCGCGCCGAAGCGTGGTGAGCCAGAACTGGCGGCGCGACACGCTAAGCGCGTCTTGTAAAAATGCTACGTGGCAAACCTTCACATCCTTACCAGCCTGGAACATATCCCTATCCCTATGTTGGGCATCGCCTCATCACGATGGCGATCTTAGGGATTTCCTCAGTTTCTGAGGGTGTATCTCTAAGATTGCCATCTCCTTTTAGCGTGTCAATCTTAGGGATAGGGATAAGTTCGAGGCTGGTGAACACCCTCCTATGTGATTTCGTTAGTTCTTCGAGCCGCGGCCCCAGAAGTCCCGACCGCTGCCCCAGGGGGCAAGCTTGCGTGCCGCGTCCATCTCTGACGACCCGGGGCCACTTGACAGCCCCTAGAAGCCGAAGTCACGGAAAAACGCGCGGATTGAGGTATGGGAATCCTGACCGTATCTGAGAGCAACACAACCCACCCCCACCCCCAGCCAGGACCCCCCTTCGCGACCTGGTGATTCATGGGGCACTGGCTGGGGGCCGGGGTCGCTGCTTCTTGGGACTCCTGGCGGCCAAAACAACGCCCTCACCCCGAGCCAGGACCCTCTGGATCACCAGGTCGGGAGTGGGGGCCCCGGCTGGGGGTTGGGGCGGGCTGTGCCGTCCTCAGTATCTGCCCCTACCGCAGCCGCCAATGGGACGCACAAAGACATACTAGTACTATATGCTCTCCTTGGAGGCGCGCACCCGACCCAAGCAGAATTATAGTATACCCATCTTGTAGTATATCGTTTCCCGAGCGGTGTGGCCAGGAAGCGCCCGCCACGACGCATACACTATAAGGTTTCTCGGTGCGCGCATCGCCCCCAGGGGGGCGACGCACATATAGTATAAGTATGGGGGGGGGACGCCGAGCCAGCAGAGCGACGAGCCAAAGCGGGTCTCACGCGAGATGGCGCAGCGACCTCACGCTGGGGGCCTGCGCGGGCCGCCAGCGCGGCACGCCGTAGCTGAAGCGAGGGCCCCAGCGCGCGACCTCACGCGGGAAGCTTGCGCACGAAGGTCGGCGCCATCAAACCCGTCCTTTGGCGGCCCGCACAACTGGCCACCGCTCGGACGTCCATTGCCTTTGCTGTTTTCGGTTTCGCGCGCGGTTTTTTCACCAAATGATCAAGGATGCTCCTCGATGGTCCTCGCCGAAGGAAAAATGCACACGTCCGAGCGATGCCAAGACAAGGGGGTGGAGGGAGGGGGGAGAGCTTCTTAGAAGGAGGCTGCCTCTTGGAAGGCGCCGGCCCTGCATCTACAGATAGGGCCCGCGCCTTCCAAGAAGCAGGGGCGCTGCTGAGACGCCCTCCCCCCCCCTCTGCGCGTGGCTGAGCTTTGGCGCGCCGCCCAACTGTTTTCGTCCCCCTCGAGCCTTGTGCACGCGCTTGGGCGCCATGGCCCCTTGCACCGCCAGGGGCCCCGCGCGGCGCGCGGCGCAGGGCCGCGGCAGCGAGGCAGCCCCCCGGGGGTCTCGAAGCTCAGCGCTGCAGCAAACGGCCAGGGGGGCCAGGAAAGGCGACGGAGGCCGTGGGAATGCTTAGGAGACAGGGGAAGAAAAAACGCCATAAGACATAAACTGTTGGCGCTCCGCGCGGATTTGTTGGATCCGCGCTGGGCGCCCCCGGCGGCGCCTCCAGCGCCGCCCCTGGAGCACCAAAAGTTTATTTGTATGGCGCCTTGTCTTCTTCGAGGAAATCTTTTGGACTTCTGCGGACATCCTATGGCATCCATCAGAATCCCCCGAAAATCCTGCGGAGATCCTGCGGGATCCACGAACATCGTTAGCAGATGCTCCCGAAACCCTGGGAATTCGTCTGGAATCCGTGGCACATCTCTGGGAACGCAGTGTCGTTGTCCTTGTCGTCGTCGACATTGTCGTCGTGGACGTCGCCGTTGCCGTCGTCAATACCGTCGTCGTCTTTCTCCTCCTCCTCATCCTCCTCCTCCTCCTCGTCATCGTCCCGACCTCGTCCTCCTCCTTGTCGTCCTCGTCGTCGTCCTCGGCGTCGTCATCGTTTTCGTCGTCGTCGTATGTACTGTAGTCGTCGATCTCGTTGTCGCTGTCGTTGCCGTCGTGGTCGTCGTGCTCGTCGTCGCCAGATCGTCTTTGTCCTCCCCGTCATCGTCGCCGCCCTCGTTTTCCTCGTCGTCGTCCTCGTCGCTGTCCTCGTCGTCGCCCTCGGCGTCGTCGTCATCAGAAAAAGGCGATGGCGACGACGACGCAGACGACGGCGAGCACGACGACGACGACGACGCTCGACGGCCGACGACGAGGAAGACGCCGACCAGGACGGCGGCAACGACGAGTGCGATGACGAAGACGTCGACGAGACCGACCAGACTGACGACGATGACGACGACGAAGACGTCGACGACTACGACGACAGCAACGAACAACGGCGACGGTGATGATGACGGAAACGAGGCTGGCTGTCTTTAGGGCGGGTTTAGGTTGAGTTGGTTGAGTGTTTTTGTGTTTTGATGCCGACGACGACTGTAATGATGGTGGTTATCAAATCGTAGTGCTGATGGTGGTGGCGATGGTGATGGTGATGATGGCGGTGCTCATCACATCCACAATCATCATCATCACCATCACCATCATCACCATCACAACCGCCCTCACCATACCATCATCACCATCCCCATCATCATCATCATCATCATCATCATCATCATCATCATCATCATCATCCATACCATCAGCATCGCCATCACCATCACCATCGTCACCATTGTGGTCCGTAGGACTTGGCTCAAGGTAATGTCGTCGTCCCCTCCTTCGGTTTCCCCGAGCCCTGCGGCCTCGTCGAGAGCGGCCTCGCCAATCCCTGCGGCTTCATCGAGAGCGGCCTCCTCGTCGGAAGCGGCCCCCTCGACTGGCTGGGATTAGGGCTGGTTTAGGTTGAGGGGTTGAATCGTTCCTGTTGTTTGATGTTGTTTTGTTGTGGTTATGACAATGTCCTGTTTTTTTTTTTCTGATTGTGATGATGACGATGCTTATGACAATGATAGTGATAATTTCGAATGGCGACGAACCGATCGTATATATATATATATATATATATACAATCAACATCATCTCCATCACCATCATCACCATCATCCATCACCATCATCACCACCATCATCACCATCATCATCATCATCATCACGACGACGACGACGGCGATGATGGCGGGGGGACGGCATGCGGACGTGCCCAATGGGACGACGACGACGACGACGGCGGGGGGGACGGCTCGATGGGAGCTCTAACGTGCTATGTTAGAGGTCCCATCGAGCTCTAACATAGTATGTTAGGGGTTTACAACGCTCACATCGAAGTCTATCTAACATAACATGTTAGAGCTCCCAAGGTGCTCTAACATAGCATGTTAGAGCTCCACGGGAGCTCTAACAGGCCATGATAGAGCTCCAAGGGCCCTCCCTCTCCCCCGCCGCCGCCGCCACCGCCGCCGCCGCCGCCGTCGTCGTCGTCGTCGTCGTCGTCGTCGTCGTCGTCGTCGTCGTCGTCGTCGTCGTCGTCGTCGTCGTCGTTGTTTCTGATGTCGCTGTCCTCGCCGCGAGGAGGGGGAAGAAAGAGGAGGAGAAAGTGGACAAGGAGCAGGAGGAGGTGAGGGAAGGGGAGGAGAGATGAGGAGAAGGAGAGGAGAAGAAAGAGAACGACAGGGAGGAGAAGGAAAGGAGAAGGAGAGAAAGGAGAAAGAGAGCTCTAACAGAGGGAGGGAGGAGAGAGAGGAGAAAGAGAGCTCAAACGGAGAGAGTACGGCAGAGAAGGAGAGGGAGGAGAAGGAGAGGAGAAGAAAGAGAGCTCTAACATGTCATGTTAGAGCTTCCATGGGAGCTCTAACATGCCATGTTAGAGTTCCCTGGAGCTCTAACATGCTAACATGGCATGTTAGAGCTCCCATGGAGCTCTAACCTGCTATGTTAGAGCTCCCAGGGAGACATGCGATGTTAGAGCTCCCAGGGAACTCCCACGGATTTCTAAACAGCCCCTAAGACAGCCCCTTCTGAGGAAAGGGTACGCACGCAATGCGGGAGTATTACTCCCGGGGTGCGGTGCTGATGTTGCTGTTGCTGCTGGTGCTGCTGCTGCAGCTAGTGCTTACGCTGCTGGTGCTGGTGGTGAGTGCGGTGCTGGTGGTGCTGCTGGTGCTGCTGCTACTGCTGCTGCTGCTGCTAGTGGTAATGCTGCTGCAGGTGCTCGTGGTGCTGCTGCCGGTGCTGCCAGTGATGCTGGTGCTGCGGCTGTTGCTGCTGCTGCTGCTGTTGCTGCTGCTGCTGCTGCTGCTGCTGGCGCTGTTGTTGGTGCTAGTGTTGCTGCTGGTGGGGGAGGGGGGGAGGCGGAGCGGAGGAGGAGGAGGGGGGGGACGAGGGGGAGCGTGAGGAGGAGGAGAAGGAGGAGGAGGATGAGGAGCAGGAGGAGCAGGAGAGCAGGAAAAAGGTGAGCAGGAGGAGGGCCATGGGCCACGGGGGGATGCTGATTATGATGATGACCGATGATATGATGATGCTGATGATGATGATGATGATGATGATGACGACGATGATGATGATGCTGAGGATGCCGATACTGCTGCTGCTGATGATGATGGTGGTGATGATGATGATGAGGAGGAGGAAGAAGAAAAAAGAAAGGCGAGGAGAGGGGGATGCAGGGTACGAGGCACAGGGGGATCAGGAGGATGAGCAGGAGGAGGAGGAGGAGGAGGAGGAGGAGGACAACGACGACGAGGATTCGTGGGAGGAACACAGTGGAAGGTTGGATGGATGACCAGGTACGTGGGAGGAAAGGAGAGGAGGATGAGGAGGCGGCTGCGGAGAGGATGTGTCGTCGTCGTCGTCGTCGTCGTCTTCACCTCGTCGTCCTCGTGGAAGTCGTCGCCGTCGTAAGGGCCCAACCCCATGCAGCTGCGAGTAACGCAGGATGACTCTCTCCTCATAGGTAGCGCGCCGCCAGAGGGGTGGAGCCCGAGGCATTGCGGATGGGGGCCGCGAAGCGTCTGAGGGGGTTGCCGAAATGAGGCGGACGCGCAAAATGGAAATGCCCAGGCCGACAAGACGTGTGAGGGTGTGCCTTAATGGGACGACGACAACGACGACCGCGACGACGACGACGACGACGACGACGACGATGACGACGACGACGACGACGACGGCGGGGGGGGCGGCATGCGGACGTGCCCGATGGGACGACGACGACGACGACGACGACGACGACGACGACGACGACGGCGGGGGGGACGGCTCGATGGGAGCTCTAACATGCTATGTTGGAGCTCCCATCGAGCTCTAACATAACATGTTAGAGTTCACAACCCTCACATCGAAATCTAACATAGCATGCTAGCTCCACGGGATCTCTAACATCCTATGTTAGAGCTCAAGGCTAACATACCATGTTAGAGCTCCCAGGGAGCTCTAACATACTCTAACATGATATGTTAGAGCTCCGTTGGAGCTCTAACAAGCCATGTTAGAGCTCCCTGGGAGCTCTAACATAGCATGTTAGAGCATGTTAGAGCTCCCACGGAGCTCTAACATACCATGTTAGAGCTCCCAGGGAGCTCTAACATACTCTAACATGCTATGTTAGAGCTCCGTTGGAGCTCGGTATGTTAGAGCTCCCTGGTAGCTCTAACCTACCCGCCGCCGCCGCCGTGTTACCGCCCCCACGGAGCTCTAACATACGATGTTAGAGCTCCCAGGGAGCTCTAACATAATCTAACATGCTATGTTAGAGCTTCATTGGAGCTCTAACAGACGATGTTAGAGCTCCCAGGGGGCTCTAACAGACTCTAACATGCTATCTTAGATCTCCGCTGGAGCTCTAACATGCCATGTTAGAGCTCCCTGGGAGTGCCAACATCGCATGTTAGAACTCCCTGGAGCTCTACCATGCCATGTTAGAGCTCCCTGGGAGGTCTAACATGCTAGGTTAGAGGTACCAGGGAGTTCCCCGGGAGCTCTTACATGACATGTTTCAGCCCCCATGGGAGCTATAACATGACATGTTAGAGGCCCCACGGAGCTCTAACATACGATGTTAGAGCTCCCACGGAGCTCTAACATACGATGTTAGAGCTCCCAGGGAGCTCTAACATAATATAACATGATATGTGAGAGCTCCATTGGAGCTCTAACATACGATGTTAGAGCTCCCAGGGAGCTCTAACATAATCTAGCATGCCATGTTAGAGCTCACTGGGAGTGCCAACATAGCATGTTAGAACGCCCTGGAGCTCTAGCATGCCATGTTAGATCTCCCTGGGAGGTCTAACATGCTAGGTTAGAGGTGCCAGGGAGTTCCCTGGGAGCGCTTACATGACATGTGTCAGCCCCCAGCGAGCTATAGCATGACATGTTAGAGGCCCCACGGAGCTCTAACGT